TGGCATGCGCGCGCAGATCTCCCGCCCCCTCCCATGACCTACTTCCTGTTGCCTCCATCTTGGTAAAGTGGCTGGAGCGGCAAAGGGGCGGAGATAAGGGGTAAATGTCTCCTCCCTCCTATGCAAATTCCTCTCGTCTGTGGGTCGTAGGTTCGCGGCTCTAACCCTAGGCAAACGCCTTTCCGGCTGCCCAGGAATTTTTTTTTTTTTAAGTCTGCGTGTATTTTTAATTTTTCTTATTTAAAAATTGTAAAGCTTATTTATTTTGAGAGAGAAAGGCAGGGAGGAGCAGAGAAAGAGAGAGAGAGAGAGGAAGAGAGAGAATCCAAGCAGGCTCCACAGTCAGCACAGATCTGGCCCGATGTAGGGCTCAAACTCAAGACCTCTGAGACCATGACCTGAGCTGAAATCAAGAGTGGGCCTCTTAACGGACTGAGCCACCCAGGCGCCCCTGTATTTTGTTGATTATCTTTAATACAGTTTTCTTTAAAAAGAAAGAACCGTGGATGGCAGATTGGGCAGAAGGCACACCCTGGTCTCAGAATGTTTGGCCTTTCAGTGTTCTGATTCCCAAATCTTGGAAATCCAACAGCTTTCGGAATGTCGAGGGTGGGAGCCCAGAACCTCGTTTGCGAGGAGTGTTCGAAACATACTGTTAGAAGTGCAGGCTCCGAGGAATGCCTGGGTGGCTCGAGTTAAGCACTGGACTTGGGCTCCGGTCATGATCTCCAGGTTGGTGAGTTCAAGGCCCGCATGGGGCTCTGTGCGGACAGCTCAGAGCCTGGAGCCTGCTTTGGCTTCTGTGCCTCCCTCTCTCTGTGCCCCTCCCGTGCTCACGCTCTGTCTCTGTCAGAAATGAATAAACGTTTAAAAATATATATAAAAAGAGGAGCAGGCTCAGAATCCTTAATCTTGGACAAGCTGCTTAGCTGTGTCTCACTTTCCTCATCTGTGAAATAGGGATAACGGTACATCTGCCTTATAAATTGTTCAGGAGGCGAAAGGAGATCATTAAACGCACGTCTGGCGTCTAAACATTAGCTACGGTTACTGCCTCGCCCCCTGGGACCTCGTCTTAGCATCAACTGATCTTTGCTGTTTACGAATAAGGAAGGAAGCTCGGAGGCCCTTGCGCGCTGGCAACCGTTCCTCGGATTCAGAGCCTCACACGGGCCGTTCGGGAATGGAAAAGGAAGAAAGGACAGAGAGGGAGGGCGCCCCGCCGGGGGCGCACGGCGGCGTCCAGCTGGATCCTTGCGCTGGGCGTGGGCAGGGTGACCTGCCCCGGGGCCCTGAGCCTCTGCGCCCGGGGCCGCCCGCGGGCCTCGCACAGGGGTCTCCGCGCGCAGCCCGCGCAGCTCCCGTGTGGCCGCCAGGGGGCGCTGGGGGGCCGCGAAAGCGGGGCGAGCGCGCGTGGGCGGGAGGAGCGCGCGGCCAGCGTGTCCCGGGCGCCGTGGGTGTGGTCTGGGCGTGTGTCGGGGGTTCAGCCCGCGGGGTCTGCGGCGGAGCCAAGGCCAAGTCCCCCGGGCGTGAGCGCGCGGGCCCACGCGCGCGCACAGGCTGGTCTTTGGGGGCAGCGTCCCCGCCTCTCCCCCGGGACCCCGTGTGTCCCTGGCGTTACGTGACGCGAGGGGCGTACCAGGCTCTGCACGCCAGCGCTCGGGGCGGAGGGGCGGAGGCCCCGAGGTGCCCAAGCCCGCGCGCACACAGCCCCACGCCCCGCGGCTTGGTTCCCAGGCCCCCGCGGCGGGAGGTGGGAGGGAGGGATGTCCCGGAGGGAGGGCCCCACAGTCACTTTTCTTCGGAAAATATGTTGGTCTGGCCCCCAGCCCGGGGCCTGAGTCATCAGGCTCCGCTGAGTTGAGTCACGGCCTCCTCCCGCCCCGCCCCGCCCCGCCCCGCCCCTGAGACCTTGGAGGGGACACCCCCACCCCCGCTCAAGTCCCACCCAGGGCTCTCCTTCCCCGGGGCTCGGAGTGGGGGGAGAGCGATCCCCCTTCTCCCCCCACCCCCCCCCCACACACACACAACCCGTCCCAAGACAGCCTGACTCCCACGTGGAAAGAAGCCTTGACTTTATTCGCTCTGTGGGGACGCCGTTTGCTGTTCGGTTCCCGGGCACCTCCCAGGCATGGGGCGGGGGACGGGCAATGGGGAGGAGGGGGATCCCAGCGAGCACCCTGGAGGGGGGGGCATCGTCCCCACCTAGGTCACCCTTCCCCATCTTTCCCGTGGGGTCCCCCCACCAGGGCCAAGCACTAGTCTGAGGTGAAGACACGGAAAGGTGGAGGTGGGGGGGGGGGGGGGGGGGGGGGGGGCGGCGGCACGGGAGCGGCCCTTTTAAGGAAGAGGAGGGAGGGTTGTAGCACCAAGAGCCCCTCCCCCTCCCCCACGCACCCCCTTTGAAACGGGGACTAAAATAAAGCCCCGGGGCCTTTATAGCTGGTAGGGGCTCTACTTAAATACGGGCTGATGGCAGAGAGGGCAGCCCCCCCCCCGGTCACCCTAAAATTCAGGCCACCAGCCTCGGGGAGCTCGGGGGAGGGGGCGGGCAGGCTGAGTTTTCAAACCAGGGCAGGTGGGCCGAGGGCAAAAAGACCTCGAAGGGGGCACGGTACGGGTGAAGCCAGGATCCAAGGGGCTCTTCGGTGGCCTAAGAATCCTTATTAAAGCAAGGGGTGTGGCTAGAACCGGGGGGGGGGGGGGGCTGAAGAGGGGTCCGTCTGAGCAAGGAGGTTGGGTCTCCCGCTCCGAACTCCCCGTGGTCCCAAGGCCTGAGAACATGATAGAGTGGGGGGGGGGGTGGGCTGTCCTTGTCTGGATGTCAAGAAGTGGGGCCAGGGGGACTTTCCCTTGGTTATTTCGAACAAATGGCCGTGGAACTATGGAGAGAGGCGAAGATTTCCTGCCCAGAATCGGGGATCAGACTGGTTAGGGCCCCGTGTGTGTCTGTGTCACAGTGCAGGTGCTCTGTCCTGAGAACGTCAGCCCCCCCCCCTGAGGGCAGATCCATGTGTTCTGCTCTCTGCTGTAACCCCCAGGGCCTGGAGGAAGCTCTGTGCCTTCAAACATAGTAGGTGCTCAATAAATACTTGAATGGCCCACCATCGAATCGATGCCTCTGTGTGTGTGTCTGTGTGCATGTGTTAAGGTCGGTGTGATGTGCCTAAGTGTAGGCGAGGGTAGTGGTGCAAAGGCCGGGCAGGGTAAGCCTTGCCCCTCCCCTGGTCCCCACGGTCCGGCGGTGGCGGGTGGAGAGACCCCCATCCTTACGGCTGGGAGGGTGGGCAGGCAGCGCGTGTGGCAGGCTGGGGCGGGGGCGTGCGTGAGGGCGAGTGGGAGGGAGGGCCTGCAGGCAGTGGCCGGCTCACTCTGCAGAGCCCTTGTGACGTCGCTTGGAGGGTGGCACCAGGCGACGGGGCAGGTTGGTGGGCAGCCCGTGGCCCTCCAGCTTGGCCTCGATGAGGTGGCTGGCCAGGGCGAACTCCTCGTCATCCAGCATGCCATCCCGGTCGACGTCGCTCAGCTTCCAGATGCGCCCCAGCACCGAGTTGGGGAGCTTGGTGCCCACCATCCAGGTCTTGGCCTTGGTGCCGCTCAGCTTGCCATCGGCCGGCACCAGGTTGTAGAAGATCTCGTCGTACTTGGACTTGTCCTTGGTCACCACCCACTCGGCCTCGTCGTCCGAGCCCTCCTCGCCGTCCTCCAGGGCCTCATCGGGCCCCCGCTCCACGAACGGGCCCATGTGGGTGCCCTCGAAAGCGCCGCCCTGCACGCCCACCTCAGTGTTCTCCAGCTCCTCCTGCCGCAGCAGGGGCATGAGCTTAGCGATGTCATGGGTCAGCATCTCGTCAAGGGCCTCCAGCAGCTTCGGCTTCAACGAGTGGAATTTGGTGAAGTCGTGAGCCATCAGCAGCTCCTGTCGGGGGAAGGGGAGAAATGGGGGGGGGGCGATACTGGGAAGTCAGGGGACATCATCCTCCCGGGTCCCCAGCCCCACCTGTCACCAGGACACTTGGGCAGCTCAAGTGGATGCTGCATAAGAATTCAGATACGTGTGCCACGCTTTCCACTAGGGCATCACCCCTCAGAAGACACTTGGGCAGCGGGGTCCCGGAGGCCCTCCCCCCTCCCCGTGTCAGGTGTACCCCCAGAATCACTGGGCGGTAGGGGGGCTGGGGGGGCCCCTCCGATGACTCAGCGCACCCCTGGGTCTGCCCACCGTCCGTGGCACCCCTAGCTGCAGCCACCCAGCACCCCCACCGTTCTGCAAGCTAAGAAAATTCAGTTCCCACTGCTCGGTTGGCTCTGTTAACCCGCTTCTCAGAAACTCGCTGCCAAGTTTGGAGGTTAGGTCCGAGGTGGCCAGATCGCTGGGAGGTCCTGGGACCCCCTCCTCCCCCAAGAAGTCAGCGTGTGCTACAGCAGCCGTGGGGGTGGATTTGCGGTCCTGCTCCTTCCCACGTGGTAGCTCGAAGTCACCCGCACCAGGAGAGTCGCAGCAAAGACCGATCCATTTAATGGCACCACCGTCATTTCCGGAGCCAAGGTGGAGAGTCGGCCCGCTGATCTGGACATAGAGGGGTAGGGGCCCGGGCCCCAGGGCCAGGAGGCCCAGGTTCCAACTGGGTTCTGCCCCTTAGGAGCTGCGTGTCCTCGGGCGAGTGACTCCACCCCTCCGGGCCTCGGTTTCCAGATTTGTGAAAACGGAACCCTAACATTAGCACTCCCCTCATTTGGGGAATCGATTCATCTGGATAAGGTGTTCAAGACATGCTAACATAACCAACAGCTGCTGTGCATCTAGCCCAGCGGCTCTGGTTCCCAGCCAGGGGTGACGTTGCCCTTCCCCTGCGGACAGTTGGCAAGATCCAGAGACGTTTTTGATCGTTACAGCT